GGAGGCCATCGCTATTGGGTTGGAGGCCATCGCTAGTAGCTTGGAGGCAAGTTCATCACAAAGCATGCATTGCATTCCGCTGTTCTAGTTGGGCGAACTTCTAATGTCAGACCTCCATTGGCGGAAGTGCGAGGCCTCGGTGACTTCGGTTCCTTCTTTGCTCCCACATAGAGCAACTCAAATGAAAAGGCTAGCTCTCACAATGGGTCGAACATGCAGTTCTTTTGAAGTAAAAAACATCTTACAGTGATCAGTTGCGTCTTTGTCTCTTTGTGATGCTCTGGACCTGTTACGGTCCTTGTGAGAGTAGAGAGCCGAAGAGTCTGCTCTGTGCGTTTCGGTCCTACAAAAGCTCGAAAGCTCCGGACGCTTCCAACAGCTCCAAGCGCTCATCCAAGTCAAGCTCACGGCGTAAAGCACGCCTGAACGGGCAGAACCATGGACCCACAAGTCCCACAAGGGGACAAAGTTGACCGCCCACGGAAATCTGGACATGCTTCTATTCCTGGGCATAATGGCATGCTACAATGGCATAGTAGATGTAGAGTTGGGAGCACCTCTTCTCAGAAACAGCTTGACACACGATCCGTGGATTGAGGCGGCCAATTGAGTCAAACTTACAGGACGCACTGACATCCACTGTGCCTTGGCTCGTGAAATCCAGCCCAATTCATGAACCTCCTGAGTTGCACAAGTGGCACCATGGGTGGCATCGTGGGCCCCTAAGGGCCTTATTTCAACACATCCTGCAGCCACTGCAGCCATGTGACGGAAGGAGATTGCTGAAAAGGTAGCGCTTGAGGCGGTCGGGGAAAGACTGAGACGAACACAAGCTAGTCACAACATTGTGACGAAAGTGTAGGAACTGCGGCACTTGATCTGTGAGCTTGGCTTGTTGGTGAGATGACTGCGTGAAAGCGAAAAGCTCAGAGGGCATCCTCAAAATGCATGGCAGTGATATTAGTCGAAAGAAATGGATTGATATATTCGCAGAGATTCTAGCTTCATTGAAGGGCTTCATTCAGGATCTGACCACCCAAAATCGGTCGCTTCGCCAACAGACCTGAACTCACAAGAACAGTTTCAAAACGATTCGATTCAATCGTTGGGACCAATATTAGTCAAAAACGATTTCTTGGTACGCCCTACCTTCCCCCCCAAGAGCTACAGTAATTGCTTAATCAATGATGTTTGTCGGCATCGACATCGCTAATTCCGCTAATTGTTCGGCCACAGGAGAAGACAAGAGAAGAGCAGGACAAGAGAAGACAAGCGGAGGACAAGACCCGGTCACAGAGCCCAGCCACAGAGTTCAGGGGCGCGGCCAGTCAGTGTGGCCAGCTCTTGTTTTCTAAGATAGAATCAGAAAGAACCCCAACAGTAAACTGTTTGGGGAATTACCTTCTGCAATCGGAACGACATTGAAAGATTGGAAAAAAAAATTGCCAAGTGGAAGGACCCTTTCTCTTCGAGGCCCAAACTGTAGCGTTGGTCCCACCTGTCAGTTGTGCAGTTGACACACTTCACACGGCCCGGTCTGAATGAGGCCCCAGCAGGCCAAGCAGAAATCACTGCAAAACGAATAGCAAGCCTGAGGTAAGCCCAAGAGACTCATGAGCTCAGGAAATGTGAGGAGTCTTCGATGCATCCAAAATCTGCACAGACCAGACTGGTGGGTCTCTGGGCAGAACGAACGGAACTACCTCCACAAGACCTTGGAGTCCGTTCACGAGCAGATGCCCGCAACGGCAATACCTGGACGCCAAAACTAGTTCCCCTCCATCTCGCCTGTCTTTTTTTCGGAAACAGGAAAGAACACGAAGAGATTCCAGAGAACGTTCCAGTGGCTTCGTATCGCTGTTGGCCTCCGGTGGGCTTGTACGAGAGCTGTTGTGCCATGCTGCACTGAACTTTGCTGCTGAGCCAAGCTTCAGGACGAAAGTAAGAAAGAATGTGAGAGGAGAAAATAAAGATAAAAGGCAAGAACTCAGAACCAGCAGTCGTTTCAAACTCTTTGTTCTTTTCTGGTGCTACTGAGCTTCCAGGCTTTTCGGCCAGGTCCATGGCACCCACCTGTTGCGCAACGGATCTGGTCAAAGCGGGAACGATTCAAGAGAGCAGGACACTTTGAGCGGCAAATGGACAACCTGCTCTTCCTTCCAAGACACATTTTCACCTGTGGTAAAACAGTGCCGTTTAAAGACATGGACTTTGCCACCTATGTCAAGTAAACCCGGATGATCAAGTGGGCTTCAGATAGTCTCAGCGCAGCATTCGTGCTACTTCCAACTGACCCATTCCACCTCCGCAAAGCTGAGCTGGTGTTTTGCCCCATGCATTTCTGGCATTTCGATCAGCACCTCTCTGGAGAAGCAGGGAGGCCGTGCTCGGATAGCCGTTCCGGGCACAAAATGCCAAGGGGCTGATGTAACCAGGCTTGCTGACCATGTTGGGATTCGCACCGGACTGCAGCAAGAAGTTCGCATTTGCTTGGGTTGCCTGGGCGAAGGCCTGCGCCTGCGCAGGTACGCCCCACTGGTTCTTGTTGAACCTCAATAAGTTCAGCAATGGTGTCATACCTTCGAAATCATAGATGTTCAAGTTCACCTTTGCAGCCACCAAGACCTTCAAGACGCCCAGCAGCTCTTGTGATCTCGCTGTCCACTGGTCCACTGTGTCAACGGATTGCGGCGTAGAGATGGGTTTCGCTGCAGGGTTCAAATGCATGGAGAACTGAGTGGCCAAGCTCAAAGGACTTTGGCCATGGTCCTCTGGGATGTTCGGATCAGCACCATGCTGAGCCAACACCTGGAGAACCTCAGGATGTGTGTTCCAGCATGCTATCGCAAAGGGCGTCTTCCCCTGGGCCCCCTTCTTGTTGATCACAGACTCGGAGCCACCTTCCAGCAGGGAAGTGGCAGCAAACGCAGAACCCACACTGGCGGCATACCACAATGCAGTGTTACCGGCTTTGTCGACCTTGGCCACATCCGCGCCATGTTGCAGCAGCACCCGGCAATTTTTACCGTGTTGTGCCATAATCATCAAAGGTGTCTGTCCTTTTAGATCCTGGTGATTCACATCAGCACCTTTTTCAATCATCATCGGGACGAGTGACGCTGGAGCAGTCCCTGCAACGGCCGTGAAGAGTGCGGTCTGGCCGGAATTGTCCACTTCATCGACATTTGTGAATGGATTGTTCAGCAAAGATGATGCGATTTGAACACAACCATGCTGTGCTGCTGAGTCAAGAGCCGTCCTCCCAAGTTGATCTTTATGGTCAACCCGAATCCCTTTCTTCAGCAAATCTTGAGCTGCATTCGGCATGCATCTTTGACAAGCAACTTGTAAGGCATTATCTCCTGTTGGAGTTTCAACATGAATGTCTGCACCATTCCTGATAAACTCCTCAGCCAAAGACTCACACCCTTCGGTCAAGGCATTCAAGAGTGGTGTGAAACCTTGTCCATCTCTGTTGTTGATAAAAGCCCCAGCCCTCATCAGGACCTCAACATCGGAGTTGTCACAACGTTTGGCTGCACAATTGATGGGACTGTTGCCCCCGTACTCTGCGTTGGGATTTCCTTTGCCAAGTCGCAGGAACATGGTCAACAGCTTGGTAGATCCACCATGCTGATGACAAGCAGCTTCCACCATGATCTTGTCTGAAACAACCGCACCAGACTTCAACAGTACCTCCACCATGTCTGGGTTCCTGTCCATGGCATATTCCAGTGGAGAGCCAAACGAGGAGCACGATGCGCGGAGAGTACTGGGATATCGAGCTGCCACGGCACGCACAATCCGCTGCTTGTTGTCCTTCAACGCTTGACACATGACCTCGTCCCAGCTCACAAGCTCATAGCCATCAGCACTATCGCCATTGTTGTTCTCCTTGGATATTCTCTTTCTGTAGGCCTTCAAACCCTCAGAGGAATACTGGTCCCACAACGCCGTAGTTGCACCAGTTGCGGTCATGTCAGCAACATGGAAATGCCACACAGTTGCCACTGATGCAATGCCGAAGAAACCCACCACAAGCAGCAAAGCTTTGTTGAAGCGTGGCTTCCAGCACTCCTTCCCCGTCATCGCCTGGCCTCCAACGGCTACTTGGTCTTCCAGGTACAACATCTGCTCACTTTCATCTGCTGCCAACATGAGAGCCATCTCTTCAAGGAAAATATTCCACTCGCGCGATTCTACGATGGCTTTGATTCTTTGATCCACTGAATATCACGAGTCAACGTTGAGACGGTTTCATGGTTTTGACCCATGAGTCCATGAGTGACCAGCATCTTGGATACTGCAGCACGTAGTACTGTAGGACCCCGGGCGGAGGACACATCAATCGCCAGAAGGCTTGGCCTTTGAAGTTCTGATGTTCATGCAGTAGAAATGCACAGCACCTTCCTTTCTTAGCTTTACGCGCAAATCCTTCTCAGGTTTGAGAAGCTGGCCACTCTTGGAGTGGAACACGGTGGAGCGTTTCATTCAAGCCTCTAGGCATTGTGCTTTGTGTCGTTTTGTGAAACTGCCTTGCATCAAATCTCCAGCCCTCTCTTAGAAAGGTAAGGCTGCGTCCTCGCAAAAGGCTTCGTTGGCTCCCGGCAAAATATTGCTCAGAAAGATCAGCCTTCCTTGCATCTCGGGCCTGCAAATTCAGAGCTTGCTGCTGAGAAATCCGCCTTCAACGGATGAATGAGCTCAAGATTATCCCTAAAACCTTCAACACTAGGCCCTAGGCCATCGCTATTGGGTTGGAGGCCATAGGTTGGAGGCCATTGCTATTAGGTTGCTGACAAACTGCGAGACATCAACAGCCTCCTCGGCCGGAGATGGATCCTTGGCTAGTAAAGATGCACCTTCTCAGAAGTTCCTGTTTCCATGGGTCCCGAACCCAGAGCGCTTGGCGAAACTGAAGCTCCTCTGTCCAAGACCTGAGTTCAGACATTGCAGAAAAGGCCTAAAATTATCCAAATCCTCACCAACGCGTTCAAAATTCCAGTGGAGTCGTGAATTTGTCAAATGGCAAACCCATTCTGCTTCCGAAAAGCACTGAGGTTGGTGCCACGGCAGAGGCCTCATGTACGCTTGAAAAAGTACGCAACTCCACCACTGGTGCTTGCTATCCATTGGCCTTTCTGCAACCAGGCAACCCAGCACTCAAAGCGATGAGGTTTTTGGGCACCAAATGGAGGACCTGCGGCGCGTCAAATCTACTCTGTCTTTTTCAAGCGACAAAAACCACCCGGGTGATGCCTCTTCATGCACCACAACCCGGACCTCAGCAACACACTCATTGGTGCTTGCTATGCTTCCCTGCTCTAATCATACACTGGGAGTGAGCTGACACTAACGCGGACAGCGAACAACACAGCCCGTGTTGATCCTAGATTAAGTCTCCCTCCTCATGTCCTCTTCGCTGCAGTTCAGTGGCAATGGGGCACAAAGCCTGCGTTGAAGATCAACTTTTGTGTCTCTTTTCTGCCCATTTGAGGATGCTGTGCCTTGATATGACCAGCATGTTGCCAGGAGACAAACCTGGCTCATTTCCAGGTTTGGAGTGCAGAAGTACCGCTTGATCACCATTTGAGACCTATCCAATTCCGCAATTATGCCCGCCACGCCAAATTGCTCTGCGCGCTTCTCCAGAGGCCGCCTGTGCTTGACATGCAATGCTGGAATATAGGCGTATACTGCCGTGCCTCGCCCCCAAGAAGAATGGTCAGCAAAGCAATAAAGCAACGCATTGGCTATTGCTGTTCATGCTACGGCGAGAGGAAGATGTTCATGAATACCGAAGCAGCAGGGACGTTTTATGTTTGGTCATGTTCTTTCAAATGCATTTATATAATGAGCATGGATGATCTACGTCAAGTCATGTGGATCTTTGAGCCAGAAGCACCCAGGCATGCTGTGAAGACCACAAATTTGCAGAGGCAAAATTCGATCAACAGAACACAAAAATGTCCAATTCACATCCGAAGTCAAGATGCCCTTCGCCCAGTCCAGCAAAGGTGCTGCCTTGATCTCTTGTGAGGCACAAGTCGTTGATTTCTGGCAGCATCGGGTGGAAAAAACGGGAAAATGCCGGTCATATGAAGGTCGAAATTATCTCAAGTGTCCCCATCAATGCTGTACAAGTACAGTGTGATAAAGAAATACAAGAATCTCCGCACAACAGTGATCTTAACCACCACATCAAACAAATTTTACATCCCTCCCATCGCCGAAGCCTCAACGAGGCGGGCCGAGCCAAAGACCTTCAGAGCAAACCAACTGGCCCGATGCAGTTCGACCAACAGAGACCAACATGCGTGACAAACAGAGATCATTTGTCTGACAGTTTGGCTCGACAATTGCTCTGTCTTATCTTCTAAAACGGCTGGAGGCCATAGCAAATTAGGCTGATGGCCTTCTAGGTTGGAGGCCAACGCTATTAGGTTGGAGGCCATCGCTTCTAGGTTGGAGACCATCGCTATTAGCTTGGAGGCCATCACCATTAGGTTGGAGGCCATCGCTGTCAGCTTGGAGGCCATCGCCGTTAGGTTGGAGGCCATCGCTATATTAGGTTGGAGGCCATCGCCATTAGGTTGGAGGCCATCGCCATATTAGGTTGGAGGCCATCGCAAAATTTGGTTGGAGGCCGGCCATCGCTTCTAGGTTAGAGGCCGTCGCTATTAGCTAGAGAAAAGTACTGGGGGGGAGGATTAAAGGGGGTGGGGTGGATCCACTGAGCACCCCGCCAAAGAACGGGAAAAAACGGCACAAGACAAGAGAACTCCCTTTTCACTTCACACCACACAGCTTCAGAAAGTCATCCTGTTTGAGGATGCGCAGAGCTCTGTAGTGGCTCCCCGTCCACACCACCGAAATTTCTTTTCGGTGCTCTCGGCCAATGGAGCAAAAATGTTTCAACTCCTGGGCCACTTCTCGCAGGATGTGCGTCCTGTACCGCCACCTCTGCGACATGACGGCAATCTCAAAGAAACCACCCCACTGCCTTCTGTGAGAACCAAACGTCGCCATGATCTCACCTTGGCAGGCCCAAGCTTTGTTTTCCATGTTTTTGGATGCCCCTGTGGTTTTCATCGCAAACTACCAAGACCATGGAGGTTCATCCGCGCAGACCACATGACTGTGAGCTGGGCTCCTGTACATCCTAAAGTCAACGCTTGGGAGGATGTTCATAAGGTCCCAGCATGGCAACTTTAGAATGAAAACTCAATCAGGAAAGGCCTGATCTTCGCATCACGTCGCTGCAATAACATTCAACCCATGACAGGTCCAAGTCAATACAACTTCCCTCAAGCAACCACGGACCGAAGCACAAACTCTAGCGCCCCACTCGCTATTCGCTAGGGCACTTCCACCAGTGCGGGAAAAACAGTGGGCACTTATACGTGCAGTGCAGAATATTTTCCATTCCGGGAGAAAAAAAGAATGCAGCACCCAGAAACAATACTGGGGTGGCTGGAGTCCAGACAAAGCTGTGATCACCGCGGAGAGGGAAGGGGCATCAGCATCGTCAGGAGGGAAAGATGAGTTTTGGCCAAGTTGTTTCTTCACCCATGCAACTTGCTCCTCCCGATTTCGCAAGCCCCAGTGGGTTTGCATCTTCGGGTCTTGCGCCCCAACCCGCTCATTGCGTGCGAGTTTGAAAGCCACAGACATAGCGCTGAACAAGCAATTCCCATCTGGGGGCACATCAATGTCTTCAAGCCACTCTCTCGGAACTTTGATGCCGCCAGCACTGCCAGCGCCGATGCCACTGCCCACCATTCGCTTCAGGCTCGACGATGAAGGCGCAGCATCTTCAAGGAAGAAACTGTGCAAAGCTGGGCAGTCTGGAGTCAAGTGCCCAACCTCATCGCAAAACCTGAGGGAGATCGATCCAGGACAGAGATAGAAACATACTAGATAGACAGAGAACAGACAGACAGACAGACAGACAGAGACAGACAGACAGACCCAACCGACCGACAGACAGACAGACAGACAACCAAACAGACAGACCGGCGCACAGACAGACAGACGGGCGCACAGACAGACAGACAGACAGACAGACAGACAGGTACATAGATAGATGAATAGAAAGTTAGACGCATGGATGGATGGATGGATGGATGGATGGATCAATAGGTTAGCGAATGCGCTTACCGATGGATAGATGGGCGCATATACGTTGGATAATGATATTGGTACGAGGAAGAGTATTTGGTGTTGTACGGTCTGAGGGTGTCTTGCGCGGTCCGGCTAGCATTGAGTGAAAATGGGAGCCCAATCAACGTGGTATAGAAAACCTGGTCGCAATCCTGGGATTCACATCTAACTTGCACGAATGCAAATGAAAGCAAAGCAAACAATCTTTAAGGCAAACATCGCGAGGAGCACAAAGGCGCGCAGTCTATTCGGGAGTCGCAGAAACAAAAGTTAAAGCGGGCATGGCGGCCTGCGCTGGCATCTCTGCACCAGTACGTCCCCGTGTTACTCCCATCATGAGGAGAGATGGCTTCGAAAAGTTCTAGCGCTCTCCTCCTATAATTGAAGCGGGCTTATGAAAACAAAAACGACCCGCCGCTGTCTGCTTCGGATTACATTGTGGTGGAAACCCTGCCGAACCCATAGGACTCACGGACAGAGGAAAAATGCAGCCCCGTGCAGATTCTCCCAGCCACCCACAAACTTCTGCAGCTGCTGCTTGGCCAGCTGTGGATGGAATCCTCGGCGACGTCAGGATCGCGCGAATTCAGCCCGGACAGGGCCAGTTCACAACCCAAGAGTTTGGTTCATTTGACCATGATGGGAGGTTTAGCCTATATAGAAAAGGTTGCCAATATGCTTAAATGAATAGTGGTAGCTTCCTGAAGAAAGCAAATATCAAAATTCCACAACCTCGATGAATCAAAAGGCTTATCTCAAAAATGTTTTCGGGTAGTGAGCATATTACCTCTTGTGTGATGCCACCGTGCCACACATGCGGCTTTCCAGATTCCTGTTGAAATTGCACAGAGGTCGTCGTCTCTCTGCGGCAGACCTTGGCGAGCAAGGGCCCCAGGCACACCATGCACCAAGGCGATTGAGGCAAAGAAACTGACCTCCACAGAAAAAAGGCCCCGGACACAACAAGGCATTGCCAATCGGAAAAAATTGATCTGCTTAGCCCAGCTTGGGACCTGGAGGAATGAAAAGCATTTTCGTTCAAACCTGCAGGCGGGAAGTCCCTGGCACCTTTGCGCTTTTCTTTCAAAGAGCCAAAACAAACCTCTTGAACTCGGCGAACCCATGCCAATCTATAGGACTCACGGACCAAGAAAAAACGCAGCCCCGTGCAGCGACCGCCCAATGTCGAAACGTGATAGGGAACCCCTCGCACAAAAATACTTGAGGCCAGGGAAAGCTAACCGTGAGTCATGGAGGTAAAATGTTTGCGGGTTTTCTGCAAACTACTGGCACTGGGCATGGACCGCGATGGGGATATGATCAGGATCACGTTCATGATGATGATGATGGTGATGAGGATGAGGATGAGGGAGAGCTCCGTTTGCAAGCTTCTGCTAGGGAACCGCATCACACTCTCCGAAGATGCAGGGAAGAAGATGACGCTGATGATGATGATGATGATGGTGGTGATGATGACGATGATGATGATGTTGATGATGATGATGCGATAGAAATGAGAGAATGATCATGAGTAGGAGGATGATGAGGAAGACATCGAGGAAGACACCGAGGTTGGCGCGGTTCGCGGGGTTCTCGGCACTGGGTTCGCGGGGTTGGCAAGGTTGGCGGGGTTCACAGGGTTTGCGGGTTCTCGGGGTTCTCAGGGTTGGCGTGGTTCGCTAGGTTCTCGGGGTTGGCGGGGGTTCGCGGGGTTGGCGGGGTTCGCGGGGTTCGCCGTGTTTGGCAGGGTTGGTTGTCTAGTTTCTCGTTGTCTACTCACGTTCAGTCTCCTCGACGCTTGTTGTTCACTTTTTGTTGTCTAATTACTCGACTCTTGTTGTCTGGCAAGTTGCTGTCTATCCTGCCAGTGTTGTCTGAAGTTTTTGTAGCTACTCATGTCATGTTCATACTACTCTACTCTGGTTATCAAGTTGTTGTCTAAACATGTTCATACTACTTTACTCTTGTTGTCTAGTTGGTAGGTTGCTGTCTATCCGGCCAGTGTTGCTTGAAGCGTTTGTAGCCGTTGTATCTTGTTGTCTACTAATGTTCATATTACTCTACTCTTGTTATCCAGGTACTTGTTGTCTACTCAGGTTCAAACTACTCTACTCTTGTTATCTAGGTACATGTTGTCTGAACATGTTCATACTACTCTACTCTTTGTGTCTAGTTAGTTGCTGTCTATCCTACCATTCTGCTGATTGAAGCTTTTGTCGCATAGTTCCTAACAGTCCATCTCTCGGGGGGGGGGGCGGGCCCACCCTCATTCGTGCGAAACATCAAGCTTTAGGGCATGGAGCCTATCCCAACATATTGCTAAAACAAAGAAGAACTCCAGCTAGCACAGCTAGCTTTCGTGTCAAAGCAGCAAAGAGCTCCTTGAAGGTCATCTTGATTTGCACACCACTTGTTGCAACACTTTGGAAGCAGGGTGGAACCTTCTCAGAGTGTCTTGGGTCCTCTTGGCCCCCTTGGGTTCTGTATCTCTGCTAGTTGTGCGCCAATAAATAATATAGGGCGATCTTATTTGGGCCAGATTGTGACCAGAGCAGCCAACAAAGTGCAGCAAAGGAACTGTCAGCACGACCGCTGTGTCTCAAAGCAGCTACTGCAGACGTTCGATTGCCGCAATCCATG